CCCCCCGCGGTTTGCCTAAATGAGGTTTATCATCCGGTTCTTCCGCCGCTCCATGTCTTTTTACGCCGTGATAATGTAAAAAGGCAGTGGGTAGTGTCTTCAGACTGTACGTAGTCAAGACCAGTCCTCTGTCTGGTGGTTTTGCCTGTCGATGCTGTGTAGATTTCTTGGTTTGTTGTTTTCAGCGAAGGTCGGGTCTGCCGGAAAGATCGGATGATGACGCATGTCAACGGCTATGAAGTGCTACGTTCAGGTGATCTGTGCAGTGGCAGTAGTACAGCAGTGAGCAAGCAAGGCGCCTGGGGACGTTCCTGAGAACCGTTCTAGGAAAGTATGCCCGATCTGTGACATGTTGTAAGAACTGGAATCTCAATCTTTACCGCATCATCAGATCGTCATTGATGTATGAACCATATATGTACAGGAGGAGGGATGGCACCCGTCGGGGAGATGGCACAGATCGGGGAGATGGTACCGGGTGCTTACATTCAGTACCACCGAGCACCAGTAGGCTAAGGCTCGCTGCGTGTATTAATGGGGCATCGCACGTGTCGGAGAGGTTGCACCGGGGTTGCCACGAAAAAGCTCAACGAAATGATTTCATTGCGTTTCCGCACCAGGGTCTGAGAGATTGCACCGGGGTGCGATGAAAACCCGAGGAGAAATAACAGAAAAAAACGAATGCACCTGGTGTCATCTCTCCGCCTGTTCCGGTGTCTTTCCTACATTTTCGTTCTTGAGGTTCAAGTAGCTTCTGCAAAAGCTTATTATACCGATTTTGGTGTGCGTTATATCACGTATACTGAAACCAGTATTGTTTTGTGCCTCGAAATCGCCTCTGACGTACGCATATACATGTATGCTGCAGTCTTCTATTCATCCATGAGATACATACCTATTCCAGCAAATTTTTTTCAGGTGATGCTGATGTATCAACATGGTCTACTCACTTCCTTCTACAGCGCCATAATCCCCCCCTCCAAGAGAACCACGTTCATCAGTTCCGCGTGCAAGCGCAGCAGAATGTCTACGTTCACGCACGTGCTGTATCGTGTAAATGACGCGAGTTCGACGCCGTCAAGGCCACGAAAGAATGTAATTTTTTTCCCCCCCCCCTGGTGTTTGCCATCGGGGTTGGGTTTTCGTCGCTTGGCAACGACGTTGTAAAACAAGCCGCCCCCCCCGGTGTTTGCCATCGGGATTGGGTTTCGTCGCTTGGCAACGACGTTGTAAAAAAAGCCAATTC